AGCACTAGAGTGATCAGAAAGACAGGTAAGGCAAGGCAAAACATTCAGATTTAAAAGAGAATTTTTGGATACTTGTTAAGTAAAACTGAAGTCTCATTGAAAAGAATTTTATATTGAAAAATAAAATACTTTGAAAATATTTGAGAATTTTCCAGGAAAAAAACCCTACAATAAGATTGTTACATATGATGAGTTTCCTAAATTGTGCTCTGTCCTGGTTTCGGCTGGGATAAAGTTAATTTTCTTCCTAGTAGCTGGTACAGTGCTGTGTTTTGGATTTAGCATGAGAATAATGTTGATAACACACCGATGTTTTAGTTGTTGCTAAGTAGCATTTATACTAAGTCAAGGACTTTTCAGCTTCCCATGCCCTGCCAGTGAGGAGGTGTACAAGAAGCTGAGAGGGGGCACAGCCAGGACAGCTGACCCAAACTGGCCAAAGGGATATTCCATGCTGTATGATGCCATGCTCAGTGTATAAGCTGGGGGGAGTTGGCTGGGGGACAGCAATTGCTGCTCGGGGACTGGCTGGGCGTCAGTTGGCAGGTGGTGAGCGGTTGCATCACTTGTTTTTCCTGGGTTTTGTTCCTCTCTCTCTCTCTCTCGTTGTTTTCCTTTTCATTTTTATTATTATTATTATTATTATATTTCAATTATTAAGCTGTTCTTATGTCAACCCATGAGTTTTCTTACTTTTGCTCTTCTGATTCTCTCCCCCATCCCACTGGGGTGGGGAGGGTGAGCGAGCGGCTGTGTGGTGCTTGGTTGTTGACTGGGGTTAAACCACGACATGCTCCAATCTTGAAAACATTCCAACACTATACTTAGAGATCACTCTTAGATTAACTCTCAGAGATAATTACTTCCATTATCTTAAAATAGATATTTCTTATTCCTAGTTGAACCTCCTTAATGTCATTATTCTCTGTTAATACATTACCTCAATCTATGCTGGGTGTTTTAGGTGAAAACAGATTATTCTCTTTAGAATCAAAGGAGAGTGTAGGTTGGAAGGGATTTCTGCAGGTCACCTGGTCTAACAAATTTGAAATGAGATCAGAGCCTTGGTTTGTTAAGTTCTGAATATCTGCAAGGAAGGAGATTCCACAACATCTCCAGGCAACCTTGTTCAGTGTTTCACCACCCTTATTGCAAAGAATTTTCTCCTTATAGCTACTTGAAATTTCTTTCTCTGCAATTTGTGCCACTGCCCCTCATTCTTGCACTGTGCATCTTTGAAAAGCCTGGCTTTATCTTCTCTATTACTAGCCTTCAGGCAGCTGAGGACAGTCATATTATATTCTCCGCACTCTCTTCTCCAAGCGAAAGAAATCCAGCTCTTAGCTGCTTCTTCATACATCCTTTGTTTGGGTGCCCTCACCATGAAGTAGCCTCCACTGAACTCACTCTGGGGTTTCATTATATTTTCCCAGGTTTTCTTTTACTAGACACACTACTCAAGTACTCACATGTACGGTCTCACAAGTCCCAAACGAGGGAGTGCATCACATGTACTAATGTTTTGCTTTCACCTTGGATTAATTCATACATTAGAAAACATTTTTGGCATATAAGATATGTACAGAAAGTTATACATTAAGAATACATTTTGAGACTTTTTTCCAAATCTGTTAAACAGGTTTATATAAGTTAATGAATTAAAAATTCCTTCTCTTAAAAACCTGATTTGCCTGTTGGGAGACTACTCAGCATAGATCAGGGTGCTTTTTTTTTTTATGAGCACAGCACATCTACAACACTATTTCAATGCCAGTTCATGGTTTGAGACTAGATTTAATTAAAATTGAAGACTTCAAGAAGTGGATCAATTCTCTTTCAATTTTGTCACCGTTGAAGAACCACTCTCTTTTTCAAAATCATCCATGCTACAGCAGCAGACAATTTGTTCCACTTAGCATGTCAAAACTATTGAAAGTTTACCCTTTGAGTGACAAAAATCAACCAGTATTTCTTGCTAGACCCTATTGCTCAAGAGTAAGTGGTGAATCACCCTCAAAATGACAACTGTCTGAAGCGCCCATGGATGTATACAGAATCAAATGGCTCAAATGGAGGAAAAATAAGTCTGTCTCTGAAGAAAAAGTTTTATGAAATGGAACAATTTCTGTAAAAACACACCATTCTAAAGAAAAGGGGGGGGAATGTATGGAAGAAACACCAATGTTCTCACAATATATGGCTCAGGTGAAGCAGTTAAGCTAAAGGTAACTGTGCATTTAGATTTCTAAATAAGGAACCCGAGTACTGTGATAGTTGTTCCTTCTTGTTTAGTGCCCAACTTGGTTAAGGCTGCAGGTTCTGTGGAGTCTCACTAAATTCTAACATTCCACGAAACAATTCAAAAGCAAAATATACTAATGGATATGTTTATTCAATAAGTGTGAACTTAATGACTTGCATGTTCTGGCTATTTTCCTGTACAGTACATAATGAGATGGTCTGGAGGTTGCTTCTCTCACTAAAGGACCCAGTATACCAGAGTAAAATTTATTAATTTGAAAAATCTCACTATGTACTTCCAAACAGGGCCAATCTTCTAGCTTCTGTCACCACTCCTTGACTTGTAATCAAACTTGTCATAAGAGACAACAGAACTTTCATTTCAGGACACAATGCTTCAGGGTGAGGGCAAAGAAGGATAGTGCATGGAGCTGAAGGTCAATAACACATTAAACCGTTATTACTGGTAATACCTAATACTAATACAGTGTAGAGAGATCCTTATTAATTCTCCATGATCATGTCTGAAATGGTGAATAACCTTGTTCTACTTTTCACTGTGAAGGATTAGCTGAACTAATGCACAAGGCAGGAACCTTGAGGACATTATTTTTAGGAACAATTACTTGGGGACTTGGTACATACTTGTGGTAACTCTTCAAAGAAAGTTACATTAAAAAGTTACATAAAAAGCTGCATTGACACTGCTGGCTAGACTACGCTCAGAAGAACTACATCCCACTGCAGTTTATTACTGCTATTTCCATTTTCTTCTCCATTACCAATAACTCTGTCTCATCTAATTCCTGCATCTTGTCCTTTTGGCACCATCCAAGTTTAGAATTGGTAATATACTACATTCAATCAATTATGCAGAATCTTCAACAAGATCTGTTCTGTTCAAAAATTCAGCAAGACAAAGTAAGATTAATCCAGACTTAAAGCAGGTGAGGGCCTGAGATAAGGGAATGAAGATCTAAAAGTCCTCATAGTCCTACATTAAACAACCCACCTTTTGAACACTATTTGGTAAGGAGAAAAAAGTGAATCCTCTTGCTTTAAAATTAAATAATACAAGATGTTATTTAAAATAAATGAATAATTTTGGAATTAGTCATTCCATGAAGCTGATGACATAAGAACAAATAATCTTGTAATTCGGTTGCAATATCAAAGTCACTTACCACACTTTCAGGATTTGCACTGCGTTTAGGAGTGCAATGATACCATCTCCATGATGGTATCATAGGATACCAATGATACCAGTAACATGACATAACTGGAAACCTTGACAGGTTCAGGCTCACAACATTCCTTGCGGCAAAGGCTGTCTTTTTTTTTTTTTTTGACAGAAATAGGTGTCACACAAACAGCACTACCTAGGTATTAGCTGAGTAACACAGACCCTACGCAACCACATGCAGCAATTTTTGCAACAGGCTCTAGCTTCTATATTCAAGACAGTATATCAGGAAACCATCTTGTATATTCAGATCTTCAAGTGACGAAATATTCATTTCATTTCTAAGAAAGTTGTTTCAAGCATTAGTTATCTGCTTTAAAAAAAAAGTTTCTAACTTCAGCTTTAACTAACAGATTTCATTATGCCTTTTACTTGCTAGACTGAAGACTTTTCCAGCTGTTAGGAAATAGTTTCTAGACCTCTCTACCTCTAAGGGATCACTTCATCCTTTCTGATGAAATTAAATAAATTCTTAATTCCACCAGTGCAAGGCATGCTGTTTAACTGTACGTCATTCAGGTAACTCCCATTATTATTTCCCATTTTTACAAAACCTTTCCTGAAGTACAGATATCTGACCGTGATAAAGCACTTCAGGAATAGTCTCATCAATGTGATTTGCAGAAGTAATATTGCCTCATTTAACCTTTTTAATATTCTCCTACTTAGACAACATTCCCAAAGAAAAATTAAAAAATACATTCCATTAGCACAAATTAATTCTACCAACACATACCTCACGTAGCTGTTCCACAAGCTCTCTCTCTTCTCTCATCTGCTCCATTTTCCTTCGAATTGTAAATTGTGGGTCTATCGATTCCAAATTTCTTTGTGGTCTTAAGAACACTATGATTTTAAAAAAGACAGATTTTAGTTTAAAAACTTACACCTTGATTTATTAATTTCTAAATGAAGAAAAATTCTTAGACTGTCTCCAGCAAAAACCATTAGAAAATTTCTCTGTCCTAAGGAGGACAGAAAAATCTGATCTTGGATTACACTCATAAATGGATATTTTCTGGATATTGCTCTGAATGGCATTGTGCGCCATCAACGGAGTGGATTATTTTTCAAACAAATCCTAATCTCAACAGGCAAGTTTTGTCAGATGATTAAGCACCTGCACTGTCCCTTAGAGATTCTGATCTGTGCAAAACTTTGTATCTAACATGGCAGGAAACACTTCTTATTCTTTTAAGTACAACCCTCTCCTACAAGATGCTGAATTGTGTAATATGCTGTGACAAGCATCTTCCTACACAGGACAAACTGCTTCCTAGATAAGGTTATACTAAAAAAAAGCCCACCCACCAAACAAAGACTAATGTAGGCAGACTTAGCCATTCAGTAAGTCTGCCTCCATTGAAAAGTCGTATTGCAAATGCAGCATGGCAAAAACTCACCACAGTACTCCCTCCCACCAATTCTCTCAACTGTATCACTTTACCCACATATAGCTCCTTGAAATAATTACATTAAATTTCTGCATATATGCACCTCTACACTTCCTTTTTTGTGATCAATGACTGTTTTGAATGGTTCGGAAGAACAAGAAGAGGTACGCTCAAAATGCAACTGTCACCTGTTTGCCACTCAAATTATAGGCCAACTTGATTATTATGGAAAATGACACTGCTTAAAATAGTGTTTTCTATTATTACTTTCCCGCCTCTCTCCTGAACGCAACAGGAAACCCTAAGTACCAATTAATAGGGTGGAAAGTACAAAGCCTAGAAGCCTCCGTTTTTACATACAGCTACTGCTCAGTCCCAATTTTGTTAATTTAAGGCCATTAAAGAAAGAGAGGATAATTTCTGGGTCAATAAGTAACAGGATAGAAGAGAGGAGCCTTTTGTTTCCTAAAAGGCACATTAGAAAATTGGAATTGTACGAATTGCCAATAGCACCTACTAGAGGAATAAAAAAAGATGAATTACTCTTGACTGTAAGAAAGGTACGTGTGGGTGTAATCACAGTAATTCTGATGTTCCATTAAAAATTGTGGCACGTCAGTCATTTTATTTAGGTTGTGATTTGGGTAATAGGTTAAATTTTAAAAATCAGTCTTCAAAATATCTAACAAAATAAAACATTGAACACTTGGTAGAAGAAAATTTCATCTACATTCTGACCAAAAATAAACTGTTAATGAAGCCCCCAAATTAGTTCAGGGTCAACATACATAATTGTACCCTCTGACATCTAGGGCTCAGATAAACAAGACAGTTTCTGCACAAGAAATACTTTGAAATGACAAGTCTAGTCAACAGGAATCTCACCTAACTGTACGCAGGTTGGTTAAGTAACAAAATTAATAATCTAAGCTACTTCTCTAGCCAAAGGGACAGACGGACACCACCTATTATAGGTAATTTTAAACTAATTAATACATTGGTAAATTTCTGATGAAAGCACTTCTATATGGTGAAAATTAAACAATTAGAAATATCTAAAATGTTATTTATAAATCATATAGTTTAGGATGGCTACAACAACAACAAAAATTAACTCCCAAGTTTTCAAAGTGCAAAACCTCTTACCCAGGACTTCCGTTAAACTCCAGAATTGTACTGAATTAAAACTTCTGCATTAGCAACTCTGTAAGAATTTATTGGAGACTGCTCCTAAATTTTTAAGAGCTGAAATAAAAATCTCCTACCACATTCAGTAAAAACTGTAGTTGCAATTTCTAAGATTTTCATTTTAGAAATAGTTCATTGTACAACTCTAATAATTGTGCTTTGCTGCCTCTCACAGATGAGATACCTAGATAAAACCTTGCTTGAAGAGTAATACCATACTTAAATGGTATTTAAATGCCACTGTAGCTTTATTAGCAGCAGCAACATTTCAAACGATTCTCTATGAAAGCATTAGTTCATATTTACATTCAGTTTTGCAAGTGTCAGAGTATTATTATGGACTTCATTCAGTTTGGCCACAGCTATCTTTGTTTAGGCCTTTGCTAAGCCAATATGAATGTCCCAAGACCTACTTCCTGCCGATTTCAGACTACAAACACCTGTTAATGAAAAGTAAATACCAACATTACTTATTCAACTCCATTCATGAATGAGACATACATTCCACCACGAGGAAAAAGGCAGGCTAAACTCAAGGCAGTGGGAAACTACAATTAAAAGTTTCTAAATAAAATAAAGTAAGTTTAATTGATTAAAAAACAAAACACTCCCCACACGCTCAAAAGCATTAGTTATAAAAGTTTCAGTTATTTACTGAATTTAAAGAAAAATGTTCTAATACAGGAAGTTTTGGCAGTCCTGAGTATTGCTTGTCTTTCTGCATTACACACGTTTTCCAGCAAGGGGAGCCCGTATCTTACACACACCTGAAGATCTATTTTTTACTCTTTCCAAAAGCAAGTTTCTGCTTTTTGAATCCATGGTCAACCAAGGTTATTATGTAATGCTTGTTCCAATAATTTTTTTAAAAGTCTCAACAAGTTAAATGGGCAATAGTTAATAACATGATATGTATTCGACATACCACAGTCAAGGACAAACTTCCTTGTGAAAATTTTCCTTTTTGTACTGAGTTATAATGCACATAAGTGCACTATTTCTAGCACATCAAGGAATTTAGTGTCCCAAGTACTTACTTTGACAACATTACCCTTCAGGTAAACAACAAAATGATTTAACCTGACTCTAAAAATAATAGACAAAAAGAAGGTTGGACTAATGACAGGCAGAGTTGAAGTCAGGCTAAAAGTTTATAGCTAGATTTCCCTTTGACTGATTTATTCAGTCCAAATTTAAGTAACAGTGAAGTTATTACACAGAGTCATTTGCTAAACCAAAGCCTCCACAACGGTATGGACGTTGGTCTTGGGAGACCTGTCTGTTCCAAGCCTTATAACCTCCCAGAAATTCTGGACTTAGCCTCCTCTATTACAGAGCTGTTGCCAGATAGTTACATTAAAGATGATATGAAGTATTAAGATGCTACATCGATGCATGGCATTTCTATGTCAAAGGCTACAACCTATACTAGCAAGCTACACAGGGCTAGCACATGGATCCTCAGCAGTGGCCTGCACACATCAATACTGTTAACGATGTTGCTTCCTGGTACAGTTTTGGTCGGTGCAAACCCACTTCTTTTCTACACAACGTCTAGGTATAGCTCGAGGAATAGAACAGGCAAAGGACATTCCCCAAAGGCAGCTTTAATGCAGCCATCCTGTTTCGGAAAGTAAGAGTGCTTAGGTATGGATTTGAATCATGCTGTGCCAACTAACCTCAATGCCAGAGAATGGTCTCTGGTCCGTTTTACTTCCTACCATAGGAAGATACACCTTGGATAACAAACTTAGCCCCAGATAACAAACTCTAAACAGAAAGGCAACAGTCCTGATTTAAAAAAAAAAAAAAAAAAAAAAAAAAAAAAAAAAAAAAAAAAAAAAAAAAAAAAAAAAAAAAAAAAAAAAAAAAAAAAAAAAAAAAAAAAAAAAAAAAAAAAAAAAAAAAAAAAAAAAAAAAAAAAAGTTGTAAAAGCAGTTTTCTGTTGTCACAGGCCAAGGTAATAAACACTAACATTTGCATTTGGCTTAAGATTTGAATGACATGAGACATCTATCTGTTCCAAATGCACAAGCTAGTCTGTACTGCTCATTTCGTTTAGAAGAATAAAACAGTAACAAATCTAGATTAACATAGATCAAGTTCTGCACTGATAGAAGTACCTCTAGCTTTCTATGTTAGAATATTCATCAGCAAAATGTCAAGTGAGCTTCATACCAGCATGAACTAAATTCAATTTTTCAACTTACCATTATCACAATTCTTATATTCCATACTCATTTCCTTTAGGAGCTGATTCCTCACATATGCTGTCTTTTATGGTTTAATAATCAAAAGCACTGTGGCAATAGCAAGTATTGTCAAGTAATGAACTGAACTAAGAATGTAGGCATTCTAAATTAAATGTTGGCATTTATCATTCAAGATTTGTGGTCTTGGTTTCAATCTGATGCTTTCGACAGTTTCACTGCCTTCTAATACCTAAACACCCTTCTAATTTAGGGCAACTAGAAGAACAACAGTCCTACTTTAAAAAATACATCTGCCTATCAAATATTTATAAACAGTTTAATTGTCTAGGTTCTGTTTCTTCCATCTGACATTGAACTATTAACGCAGTATAAGACCCTGATAGCCCAAACTTGGCCAGCTTTGCATATTAGTGCCATGACTCAATGTACTATGACAGTAACACCCAGGAGAAAAAAAAAAAACAAAAGCAGCAGCAACGAAGTCCACTAATGTACCTGGTCTTCACTACGCACAGAGAAGTTTGACAGCTTACTAACAGTTTCTGTTGGACAGAAATCACTATTTTGCTTAGCTGATTGTTTCAGCTTTGTTTCTTCATGGATTCCTCTTCTAATTTAGTTATGCACCTGCATCAATAACTGCAGATGGGAGCAGGGTATTTTTATTAAGTCAGTATCTAGCAAAAATATAATAAATAAAAAAATGCAGTAAAGACAGTAGCGAAATTAATTGCTGTTTGAGTACAACTTTTATACACCCTTAAAAGTAAAGCAAGTAAATAAACCTATATTGGAAATAGTTCTTGGAGTGGATATCATGGGAAAAGTTGTTTTGCCA